TTTTGGGGTTTTAGAGTCTAGGGTTTAGGGTTTAATAGAAGCAGATACCGAAGATTTTGGGGTTTTAGAGTCTAGGGTTTAGGGTTGAATAGAAGCAGAATACCGAAGGCACCTTGATCGTTCGAAGAGGGCTTTGGGAGCATGCTTTACTGTACTTACCATCACGAGCCCTAAGGAATACGTTGGTAAGTGGGCAGACCCCTAAACCCTAAACCCTAAACCCTATACCCCCCATACTATTTCATGCCGAAGCCCTAAAAGCCTAAACCTTGACTGTTCGGGAAGTTGTCGACGGTCCCCAGACAGCCTTGAAAGCTCCTTCTTTTGACAAAAAGAATGTAGGCGCCTTCGTATTTCCAACAGCGGTTTGTGTTGTATGACAGTAGAACTATAGGAAAGACCACCCAAAGCAAAAATGTCTAATTATTCACTTTAGCATGCTGATGTTAAGTACCCCACGGACCCATATCACTCGTATTGCTAGTTACTTGGGCTTCTCTATAGGGGCCATTCAGTCCAAAGCTTAGTTGCTGAGTTTGTGTGCCCTAACAACGTGTAAACACGTGTAAAATTTCAGTTCTATAGACCCAATGGGCGATGATATTTCCCAAAACCTGTACTTGTGCTCAATCAGCTTCTCAACCCTGAACCCTAAGACAGGGCTACGTAGCAAAGAGAAGTAGTTCAGCTCTGCGGTTCGACGATCTCACGACTCCGGGCATGGAGCCCTCGAGCTTCTACAAAGCCGGAATGCTTTCGGGGTTTAGGGCTTAAGGCTTAGATGGGCTTCGGCTTTAGGATTTTAGGGTTTAGGGCTGAGGGTTTAAGGGGGGGGTTCGGGTTTAGGGCTTAGGGTTGAGGGCTCAGCTTTGAAATCCTTGAGGCCGGAGCCTAAGCTTTCATGGGCTCGTCTACGGTGGACTCGGAAGCTTCTCATACTCAATGCCTCTGCCTTCAAGCAGGCGCCTTAGTCACTAGAATCTGGCTTGGGTTACATGATAATACACAGTACATACTTCCGAATGACAAGGGGATTTCTGCGTCCTGAATGTCCTCCTAACACCTAAGCCCTAAATTTTGGACGGCTTGCGCCGATAAGTGCGCCAGCGCAGGTTGTGGTTTCAAGGGCAGATCTCGAAGGAACGCGAAATTGAAGGAAAGCAAACGACAACCACAATTCAGTCCGAGTAAATTGGCAATTTCTTTTCGACCCCTAAACCCTAAACCCCTAAACCCTAAACCCTAGATTTGTTGTTTCCATTCCTGCAATGGCGCGCCACAACGGGCCAAGTCTCAGCAAACTGAAGCACATACACCTGAGAACGTGCTTAAGAAAATTGAAGCAATTCGCGCAAATCTAGGCTTAAGTAAATTGAACCAGCACTGAAGGGGTTGGAAAAGGCCAAACACCCCAATTTGGTATCCTGGAAGGGAATCTGGAAAAGTCCACAAAGCCCAATTTGGGGGCCTGGACGCCTGGAAAAGTGTACCAAAAAAACACAAACCCCCAAGTTTATGCTTTGGAAAAGCAAAAAAAACTGGTGTCCTGCCACCAGGCAAAAAGAGCCAATTTGGGGGACTTGGGAAGGGTTTGGAAAGGCCAAACAGCCCCATTTGGTCTGGAAACATCCACAAAGCCCATTCGGAGGCTTGGAAGAAGCCCTGGAAAAGGCAGACAAACTCAATTCGGGCGCCTGGAAGTGTCTGGAAAAGGCCACAAAACCAATTTGGGAGCTTGGAAGGTGGTTTGGACAAGGCCAAGCCCGGTTTGAGCCTCGGAGAAAAAAAACAAAAAAAAATTGTGGCCTGGTAAGGGGTCTGGCAACGCCACAAATCCAAATCTGAGCATCCTACATTACATTTAAGCAAAAGCAAACTCCTGGTCTGAGTCCGCGAAAAGCTTCCAAAAAAGGCAGGCTCGGTGTAAGTGACTAGAACCCTAAACCCTAAACCCTAAAGCCCTAAAGCCCTAAACCCCTAAACCCTAAACCCTAAACCCTAAACACTAAACCCTAAACCCTCAACCCTAAAACCCTAAACCCGGTGAGGGCTTCAAGGGCTTCAGGAAGCCCGACCTCGTGTCAGCAGGTACTCCATCGGCACTCCTGTAACTCGGCCCATTTCCACGTAGCCTCAGAGTGTAGGGTTCAGGGTTTAGGATTTAGGGTTTAGGATTCAGGGTTTAGGGTTCAGGGTTTAGGGTTTAGGCTTTAGGGTGTAGGCTTTAGGGTTTACGGTTCAGGGTTTAGGGTTTTGGGTTTAGGGCTCAGGGTTTACGGTTCAAGTCCAATGTAAGCCTGGCCTGAACTCTGAACTCTAAGGTGCAGTCTGTTTTGATCTCAACGTACCCTGAAGGCTGAACCTCAGCCCAAAGAAAACATCGGGCCAATGGGACAAGGGACAGGAAACAGTTTTGCCCATGCCCCTGAAACCCTACACCCTAGACTGCACGTGCTTGCGGGTTGCTCTGGCTAAGCTTGGGGCCTTTTTGAGTCAACCCAGGCTTTGGGGCAGTATCGTATAGCATAATATGGAACGCTACCGACTAGTCTCGCTAGCTATTCGGCTTCTGTATTACGTGGAGGGCCTCACAAATTTGCCATCTTACGGAAGGTAAGGCCCCGATCCAGACTGTGTAGCTGGAAGTGCCACGGCTTAGGGTTTAGGGCCGCCTTTTATTCCGTTTAGGGCTTCGGGCTTAGTTATGCTGCAGGGTTTATAGGACTTAGCACAGCACATTGCCAACATGTCTGGTCGCCCAAAAGCGTTGTCTGCCCCCCAAGCCCAAAACCGAAATTGGTCCTGACTTGCTCCCAAACAAGCCTGCGAAACACCCTAAACCCTAAACCCTAAACCCTAAACCCTAATACCCTAAACCCTAAACCTTGAAACGGAGAACCAAAACCTTACTGGCATCTCCAATGCGGAGATCCGAGACCCAGAGCAATGCGGGGAGAAGGGTCTTGACTTCAGGGACACGTTGGGCCATACCCCCTAAACCCTAAAACCCTAAACCCTAAAACCCTAAACCCTAAACCCTAAACCCCTAAACCCCTAAACCCCTAAACCCTAAACCCTAAACCCCTAAACCCCTAAACCCCTATCTGAGCCCTTACCCCTTAACCCCGAAACCCCTAAGGCTTAGGTTCTACCTTGTGACGGCCCATTAAGTGAAGCCGGCGTCAGGCTTTGTGCCAATCGTTCAAAGCCCCATCGCTCGATGGGAGCGGCCCCTAAAGCTTAATGAGCCCAGCCCAACCCCCCAAAGTCCACCTTGGTACCGATAGCTCCTCCGAAATAGATTCCGCAACTCCCAGACTCATGGAACTTGGAGGATTTGGTTCTCTTTTCTGAAGCTTCTGAGGTAGCACAAACGCAACCCAGCAAGTAAGTGCACTCCCGCCTCCGAAAGTGGTTCTAGCCCCAAGCCCTAAAACCCTAAACATCCAACTCTAAGCCGTAAACCCTAGGCCCTGAGCCCTAAACCAAAATCACAGGGCTATTGGCAGGCCCAGTGGCGAAAGAGGCAATGCTGGTTCTGGAACAATCGCATTGCCAAGCCTCTTTGCAGTGAGTCTAAGGTTTACGGTTTAGGGGCCAAGCTTTACTGGCACAGTCATCTCGTATCTCTTTTTCATCCTAAATTGCGAATTCCCCTGCGGAGTGCCCGTAACCCGCAGGTTTGATGAGCAATCAAGTATCATCTTGCTACAACTCTGACAGACGACAGATAGCCCCGCGAAAAAAAAATCGGCTTTATGGTCACCACGTTTAAGCTGCTCCAGTTGGCACTTTGACGAGTCTAGTCTGTCCATCAACAACACGTTACACAAGTCTTGGTGCACATCTGTGCCATGGATAAGCTCGCTATCACAGCATGCTCAAACCAGTACCGCGAGGCTCAAAACACAACTTCGGATGCATGATGCCGAGGCCAGCACCGGCATCCTTCATCGCCTCCTTCGCCAACACCCACGGAGCCTGTGCTGAATTTTCCCCTTGACTTCAAACCCAAGCCCTTAACCCTAAACCCAATTTGCGTTTCTACCTTTGTCAGGTGTGCCCCTTGCTGTGCCAACATTACCTTGCGCACCAGGATGGTCCTGCTGCCTGCTTTGGGGAGACATTTGGGGAATGTGTAGTTAATATCGGGGCCTTAATGATTGGAGTAGAGCTTTGGGGTTTTTTTACTATAATTATAAACAGGAACCCGAAAATAGTGTTGGTAATTATTCAGGCCAGTATATTTCGTTTGTTCCTTTCTGGTACCTCGTGACACGGAAAGCTTCGGGGGCTTTGAACAGGTGCCAAGTCAAGTGGCAGTCGATCAGGGACTCCGAAGCTCCAAACCCTCGGTCCGAAAATCTAAAGCACTAAACCCTATCTGTGCTTCTTCACCCACACCCACCCCGAATGCCTGGAGAGCCACCTGCAAAGCTTCAGGAGATGTAGCTTCCACCGGATGCGCATTGTTGAGTTTATGGGCAAGACAGCTGGAATGCAACACGCACTTTTTTCTTGAGCCAACCGGCGGGTTACAGGTATAGGATGGCTACATCTTACATAAAATACAGCCCCCTTGCATCTTAGTGCAGTGGTAGAGGCGAAGGCACTGGTGTAAGGAACGACTAGCTGTTAAGCCGTCGTACATCACTTTGTGACGCCAATAAAAGTTTGAACTCGCAAAAGACACGAGCCGGCCATCATCACCCTTTTCTATGTGCTGTTGGGACTGAAGCCGACTTGTTAGGGTGGCGCCAAGGACGATCAAAAGTTCACTTCACTGCTAATGAAACGAGTATCTAAGCTTTGCTCAGGTGACCCTCCTGTTGGGGAGGTGAATCAAGTCCAAGCACGAGGCTCATAAGCATTGCAACTCTTTGGAAGCTCCTTCTCAAACATTGTGGCCAATTCGCCCATGATGGCTAGCACTTCTGATTGCATCACGAAGTACGTGTCGCCATCGTACTGGAGCAGCGAGAACTCGTGCTGGTTAGATTTCACTGCCTTGATGAGGACTGCGATCTCACCAATCGATCATGGAAGCCATTCAGACACTCCGTGAGGAGGTCGATTTCCGCTTGACCAGGCACCCATAGGAACGCAAGCTTGCCAGTGGCATCGTAATACGATGAAGATCCCTTTCCTTTGCCCTTACCCTTGCGATTAGGCAGCCTCACGTTAGCGAAGCGCTGGAGAGCCTCGATGGTGTAGAAGTTCAAGCCAGCTTTTGCGAAATTGTGGGCTTGCATAGGATCAATGTTCATGCGAGCCTGCGGTGTGGCGCTGCAGTTGCTCTCGGCCTGCTTCTGTTGGTTGATGATCTTCGCTCGGACGGTAGAAGCAGTGCTCTGGACTCTTTCCACCTGCTCATCGTCTTGCCCTGTGCGTCGAACACGTTGCCGCGTGAGCCCGGCTGATGGTTGGAGATGAACCTTGTTAGGCAGCCTGCCCTCTCGGGTGGCGAGGCTTCTCACGCGAACCGGTTCTGCGATCACGGAGAGATCTGTGACTTCCGCTAGATGCCTTGTACAGCACTGGCATTCAATCATCCCATCGAAATACGGGTGGTTGCATTCACTGCACACAAACCTCGGGAAAGCGATGAGCTCTTGTTTAATCCAGTGCCGAGGTGGCTCGCCTGCCTCAGGAGGCTACTCTAAGCGGCAGATGGCATTGGGTGCCCACTCTCCAATTTGGTCATTCAGGGGGCCGTCAATCAGATCCAAGAAGCAGTTCTACTGATTGTAGAGGCTCTCGATCTGGTCAAGGGTATACTCCTGAACGGTCGGCTTATCCCATTTGTCCAGAGCGTCGTCGGAGACGAAACGCCTGGTAAGCAGGGTTCTTCCACATGGGCTCGGACGAGCCGCGGTGATAGGCGTACACGAAGTAACGAGGACCTGCTAGCTACATCTTACACAAAATACAAGTGTGTGTCCAGGATTTAGGGTTTGCAGTGCCAGGATTTAGGGTTTACGCTATGGTGTTAGGGTTTTTTCACGGGACCCAGAAGTGAAACACTAACAACACCTAAACTTTAGGGAGCCAGCGAGCTCGCCTTTAAACTTTAGCCCAAACTTGCTTGCCGGCCTCGCGGCTAAGCTTGTCGATATCTGCATTTCTGAGCTCAAGCCTGCGTGTGCACGAGGGTTACGGCGGTTAAGGGTTTCAGGTTGGGGAGGATTCCATACATTCCTTGCACGCCCTCAAGCAAGCTGGGTTTCACGATGCGCAGACTCCTAGTGGTTCTGGTGAGGTGTCTTAGAAGCGCCTCCCCGTAACTGCATCATACCGAACAATTGGAAAAGTCTACGGTGGCTTGACGAAGCTCTACAACCCAAACACCTAAACCGATTCGAAAGAAAAACAAGCTCAAGCACATGATTGCTATAGGAACCTGTCCAATTAGAATGGGGTTTTGTTGGGAGATTATGTATAGTGAATGCAACTGGATACCATTACCAATTATACAGACCTCCATGTAGACTCGCCTGCCGCAAACTGAAAGCTGCGTATCCTAGCCATATGTCTGAACAAACTACTTGCCAAGTCAGATTATTTTTAAAACTGCATGGGAGGCCTAGAATTAAACCATAAACCCTAAACCGCAAACCCTAAACCCTGCAAGGGCTTCGATGTATGAACTGCCGTATCAAGCGTATGGCATGTCTTTGAAAGCTCGGAGCCCGAAACATGAAAGCTGAACCCTGAACTCTAAAACCTAAACCCCTAAACCCGAAGCATGTAACCTAAACTCGAGATAAACCCACGCCAGAGACTTCCCAATGCCTCGACTCCTTCAGGAAGTGCTGCGAAAGAGCAGACAGTGTGTAGGAACCTTAGTTAAGGCTTTAGGAGTTTTGGTTTGAAGGGTAAACGAGTTTCTCTGGAGGTTTGCGGTTTACGTAGGGTTTAGGGTTTAGGGTTTAGGGCTTAGGGTAGAGTCTTTAGAGTGTTATGTTTTTGGGCTTGTTGGAAGGCTCACTGGCGGTTCGAACTCTCATTGGCTCTATAACATATCAGAATTATAGCTGCATGCTCGCTTGTGAGTAACATTTTGCGGGAGTTAGGACCCTACACCCTAAACCCTAATCCCCTAAACCCTAAACCCTAAACCCCTAAACCCCTAAACCCTAAACTAAACCCTAAACCCCAAACCCCGAACTCTAAACGCTAGGCCCTAAACCCTACCAATCTCGTGTTGGATCATCTCATGGAAACTTTGAGCTACAGGGTTTAGGGTTCAGGATTTAAGGTTACGGTGTAAGGTACAGTTCGAGGTAAGCATACTTGTACTCTAGGATGTACTCTGTATAAGCCCACACAGGCGGGTGAAAGAAGCCCCAGCAAGCTGGAGACACTAAGCCTGAACCCCTCAATCTTTAAACCCTGCACACTTAATGTAGAAATCATAGAAGCCTGAATTATTTCGAATACTGTGCCTAGGGTGTTTACAACTGTAGCAAAATATACCCCAAAACTGTATTCTTATTAGTGCCCCTATTTCAGGCCCCCAGAGCCTAAACCCCCCAACCAGGACTGTATGAATCGGACTTAAAGCCAAACACTGGAGCCTCAGAATGACCTATTGCAGGGGCCTTCGACTAAAGTTTTGGGGGTCTAGTTTAATTAATGTAAATATAGTACAGTTGGTGGATATCGCTACTACTGAATATTCCGTCCCTAAATTAGCTTATAACAAGACTTGGCTCGTGCCTCCCACGTTGGCCACTGAGACGTAAAAGCGATGGAAGTCCCGTACTCCTTACCCAGGGCTTAGGCTTGAGGTTTAGGGATTTAGGGGCTTAGAGTTTAGGGGCTTGGGGACTTAGGGGCTTAGGGTTTAGGGGCTTATGGTTAAGGTTTGGGGGTGCAAGGTTACGGATTCAATTGGTCGTGGGTTTAGTGTGTCGATGTGGCGTCAGTATACCTACTTTGACTGTGATATACCACCTAACTGCTCTTCCACTATGGGGTCTTTTGAAGCCCCTGCACGAAGGCTTCGGTTTGGTGCAAGGGGCTTTAGGGCCCCTCCCACAAGAAAGAACGTCCACACCCTTTTTATACCCTTTTTGTTGCAGCGAGCTCTCTGTCGGCAGCTAGATTCGCTGCGTGCACCCTTCCATGTCTTCTCGTCAGAATGAGGTACCGGCTACTGATATGGGGTTTTAGCACCAATGAGGCATGATGTTTTAGCATTTGGGTCTTATGCTCGCTGATTGATGCTTTGAAGTGTCATTGGTGCCAATATGGACATGCCAGGGCCAGCAGCGATGCAGATCACTCATAGTATTGTATTATCACCGGGGATGCTGCAGGCCGCACAACACCTAGAAAGGTCGTTGAGTTGTCATCTGGGGTAGGGACATTGCCGCTTCTTGCAAACGTATTTAAGTGGCCGCATGGCCAAGGTCAGGAGGTGTCAGTGGATAGGGTCCATGGCTCAGGCTGGCAGCTAGATGTTGGAGTAAAACTGGCCGGTGTTTCGGAACACAAGTATGAAAGTATTTGGAACGAAGCTCCAGCAACGGCATCAGTACTTGTGCAGTAAGAATAGCAGGCAGTAGTAGCAGTAGGAACGGCATACGCAGGAGTAGCAATGGCGACAATAGTATTGCTAGTAGCCTACAGTAGCAGCAGTAGTAGCAGCAGTAGTAGCGTCAGCAGTAGCAACCTTGCCCACTTTCATGAACACCGATTTGCTGTGGTTGGTTACAATCTTTGGTACGATTAACGCTTGTACGACACTCACAATGATGACTGCCGTTGCGCCTAATCAGGCTCTATAGGGCTGCACCTGCAAATCCTAAACTTTAAACCCTGAAGATATTCATCCGCCTTATAACCTGAACCCCGAACCCTAAACCCCAAAACGTAAAACCCTTATCCCTAAACCCTAAGCCCTAGACCCTAAAAACCTAAACCCCTAAACCGTGAAGCTTCTGATCCTCTTTAGAACTGGCAGCAGCAGACCCGATGCATTGTCTCGACGCGCTGGTACCGGGCAAACAGGTCTGGCGGTTCGGAACAAAGCTAAACCCTACACCGGAATCTTGAGGTTTGGGTTTAGGGTTCAGGGTTTAGGGTTTGGGGTTTAGGCTTGTGTGGGAGTTGGGCTTCAGGAATCCAGTGCGCAAGAAGGCTTGGAAACCCTGTACTGGGAGGTTCATGATTGGCTATAAGTAAGGCTCATAAGCAGGGTAGCGAGTAACCACAAATATGGCCCAGATTAGGTGACTTATAATCCCACTTGTAGCCCCTAAACCCTAAACCCTAAACCCTAAACCCATAAATTAAAAGGAACCGCCAAGAACCCGAAGGATGCCGACATCACGCAGAGTCCTCTCAACCCTAAACCGGTTTAGGGTTTTAGGGTTTAGGGTTTTAGGGGTTTAGGGGTTTAGGGGTTTAGGGTTTAGGGTTTAGGGTTTAGGGCCCTGAAGCTTTCTTGAAACTCGAGGTCAGTGCGACCCCCTATATAGGGTTCAGGCTTTGCGGAATGCACGGAATAGGTGTTTAGGGTTTCGGAATATAGGATCTGGGAAGTTGGGTCTGCCGTTTGGGTGTTCTTCCGCTCTATCGAAAATAGGAGCTCGAGGCAACACTCAAACATCGTCTAACTATGAAGCCTACATTACCCCAAAGACAAGAGATTTACATTTCGGTTCCTTTTGGGCCCTTGTTCGACGTCCTCCGCATTCTCCCGGCCCGGTACTGTTTCAAATACTGTCCAGGCTTTCGCAGACCGGGCTGCATTCGAACACTCGATATAGGTAAAACAACGGTGCAGGATTTGGGGTACTTTAAGGCAGAACTGCATTTATAGGGAATCCAAATAAATAGTTTTTGGTGGCTATTCAGGCTTCTAGGCTAATCCTCTTCAGGGCAGGGTTGCTAAGCATTACTAGACTTGTCTTAGGGGGGGTGAAAATGAGAATACTTCGATTTGGGGGGTCTACACTGGAGTCCCGTCCCACACACTCCCATGTTGGCGATCTTATACTTACCGGACTACACATAGGGGAGTAAAGCCTATGACCTGAAACATGAAAAGATCGCATCCGAGGTCCGTGAAGGATTTAAGGTTTAGGGTTTATTCGCGTTTACAGTTTGAGCGACCGCGACCGTTTTTTTGAAGGGGCCGTTCGTGCTTCGAGACCTCTCCATCTTCGGCGCGGCCCTGACACCTTCATTAAGGGTGAATGGCTTGTTGCAGTTGAACCCTTGTGACCCCTACGTGCCGATACCTTCAGCTTAAACCGGAAACCCCTATAGCCGGGCCCGCGCTGGCTTCATCCCAAACGCCTAGATGCCCCCTTTCGAAAGACCCCAAAACATGGCATGAACCGTTAGGTTAAGGCTTTTGGGCCCAGCTTTTCGGGAATACTGTTCTGGGTTTGGATTTTTCCCCAGATTCTTTGAAAAGAGCCGTTTCTCGTGCGTTTGCGATGTGAGCAACCGTCTCACTTCTTACCCCTGGCGAGAGCCCGACCTCCATCTTTCTAGTTTAAGGTTTAGGGTACTCACACTCATGAACTAAAAAACCTGGAAACCTAAGAACCCTAATTTTGTTCATCTAACTTTGCTGTGCTAAAGCTTCTGGGGCAAGATGCGATCCTGAACCGTAAATCCTAAACATCTGATGCAAGATGCGATGCTACCCGATGCTACCCGGTCAACAGGAGAAGCAGCCCGAGCGCACGATCGCCGTTGCTGTCAGAACCAGAGGGCGGAGGCTGTTGCTTTACTTTGGGGGTCTAGGGAGTCTAGGGTTGAGGGCTTCGGGTTCAGGGTTTGAGGTTTAGGGTTCAGGGCTTAGGGTTGAGGGT